ATTATTATTATTATTATTATTATTATTATTATTATTATTATTATTATTATTATTATTATTATTATTATTATTATTATTATTATTATTATTATTATTATTATTATTATTATTATTATTATTATTATTATTATTATTATTATTATATTATTGTTATTATTACTACTATTATTAATTATTAATTATTATTATTGATTTTGTAGAAGAAACCCATAGACGTATCGCGTATGTCCCATGTCATCATATATACATGGGTATGGGTATGTGATACTGATTGTGAGATAGTAACCTAAATTTTTAAAAGGCATGCAAAATGACGGCAACAGTGCGTTATTTTCCTTTCCTGAACTTTCCTGCAATCTAATTTTTACTAATATTTATGTGACAATCCCTTACTCTTCGGACATTTTTTCTTCCGCTGACCGCTATCCAGTGACTGTTTTTATTGGTTGAATCAACTTGTTTATTCCTTTTCTGTTGTTCGTAGTTGTTTAACTATTACAATCAATTAATTAATGTCCACGTAATTAAGCGTAGAATTGTCGTGACTTATAGTCTAGGAAGTAATCAGTTTTCCGCAGTGAGTTCCTAGGTTTTTTCACTTTTTTTTCATGTTTTCATTTATAATTTTTTGTAGCTAGTCATCGTCATCATTGTCATCGTCGTCATCATGAAATAAATTGGTTAATTAATGATTTAAAAAAATCCAATAACACAATTAGAAAAAGGACAGATGACAAATGGGATGATACGGTAAACAGCTAATTACTCCCTTAACTTTGTGCTAATTGTATAGGTGTTGTTGAATGTCGCATTTACGTTTCTGCTTTTAGAAACCAATTGTAACAGAAATTCCCGTCAGTTACTTTTTCCGGTAATTTTCCGAATCTTACCTTAACATCCGAATGAGGCCGTAATTCTTTTAAGGCCATTTTATAAATTGAAATTTAACACATAGAATAGACATGATAAGTCATTTGATTTGAATGTTTTGCGAAATTTGAATTCATTTGAGATGTATTTCTTAACATGAATTAATATTTAAATAACAAATTACTACTATACTGATTGCATAATCACTGTTATGATAAAATGATTGGGACAAGCATTGCTCTTATCATCAATTCAACAATGATAAATGTTTTTTTCTGAAATAATTAACTTTAGGCATTTGATAAGATACTTGAATTAAAGCTATAAATAAATGTTTCAAAAGTTGATAATTAACAATTACAAATTTTCATATATCATTTCAAAATGTCAACTAATAATATTGTCATCCTTTATTATATGTTTATTGTCATCCTTTTATTATCTTACGTTATTGTTTGTTATTTATCATTTTATTTGTACATTATTTCTTCGTTTATTATATCCTTATTAAAAATACAAATTGGTTATTTATTCAATTACATCATTTTAGTTTGCTGTTTCTTTCTTCCTCTCTCTGGAAAGAGAAAGAGAAAGAGAGAGAGAGAGAGAAAGAGAAAGAAAAGGGGACGAAGTATTAATTAGTTAAAAGCTTAAAATTTGGATTATATTATCCAATGCTTATTTTTATTCATAAATATTTTTCCTCTTTCTTTTCTTACTTAATTATTTTTCTTCATTCACTTATTATTCGACCATTAATTAATCAATTTACTCCAAAATGTCCATTATAGCAAAATGCGCCTAAATGAGCACTTGAGAGAATTGTGTCATTGGTAGATAACTAATTATAGAGCGCTGAGTAGATGAAATGATGAAGTGGGTTGTGTTTGTCTGTCTTTGAAAGAGACATTTTGGTTTGAGGTCAATAATTTGAATGTCAATAGCTCCTTTCATTAGAATCGAGTTATTTCAAGGAAGTTACGAGTGTAATGAAATAATTATCTCACTTTGATTCATTCCGCATATTCCATTCCGTTCCGTTCCGTTCCGTTCCGTTTCATTTCATTTTAACGTACTGCCTTACTTCTCTCTATTCTTTCATTTTTATTTTTTTTTTTTACTTTTATTTACTCTGCCCACTCATTGTTGAGGCAATAAGCGGAAATATTTGTCACCACTTACTAATTTATTTCAGTGAGCGATAAATGCTATCCTGTCATGTTTGTTTCGCAGGGAAATGAATTGTGGCATTGATAAACAATATTTAGTGGTGGGATTTAAAGCTTTCCTACTCTAAGGACATTTATTGTCCCACCTACCTAAATTGTAAATCATTATGGCTACTCTACCACTACTCTCAAATCATTTCTAAAGACCACTCCCCACAGGTGATCCTCCCTTTTCAATCCTTTTAACTTTTCTTCTATTACATTTTTCGTAAAAAAAAAAAACAAAAAAGAAAAAAAAGGAACTTTAACCTGAAAATATAACCGAAAAATAATTATATTTGATATTAAAAGCTCCAAGAAGCCTGTATAATTACAAATGATCTTCCAATATTTTGGAACTGTATCACCTTTGACCTTTGATATTTGATATTGTAATGATCAAAAAAATTCTCTTTGAATGAAACTATATTATTTGCATCGTTTTTGTGTTCTCATTGATATGAATGATTAATCAAATTTGTTACCTTATGTCATGACCTCTATTCGCTTCATGATAACACATGACCTTTGATATGCACAAGTTTACATAATTAATCTGGTTTCCATCCTGTATGAAAAACCTCTTCAAATGTTATCAGCCCTTTAAAGCCTAGATTACTTCTTGATTTTATTTTATATAGCTAGGCTTTTTAAGCCATTTACTATCCTTTTTACTCATTTTCTCCAACTTCAATAATAAATTTATGGTTTTGTTGTTATATTCTTTAGACAAAAATTAATTTTTATTCCACAATATTCAATAATTATGACCTTTTTTTGCACTTAACTTTAAAAAGTTAATCGATAATTTGATTTGAAATTAAATTTTCCATTCCACATCCACTCTGATGTATTTTTCACATTTTTTTCTTTTTTTTTATAATCAATAAAGGGAAATAAAGCAAGTTAAAATTGTTTATTTTCTTTGATCTTAGAAAGAAATAAACTTGAAATGACTAAGGTGACAAAAGGAACCTTTCAGTCACACATTCAGTCAAATTGAGGATCACTCATTACTACTGTAAACATGTTTATTGTTTTAAATTTATCTGGAAATTTCTGAACTTTTACTTTTTCAACTCATCATATTCTATTCTTATGGATTATTTCAGGTTTCGTTTTTTTCCTGAATTACCGTAACCCTAAAAGTAATAGGAAATGGAACTTATTCCCATTAATATTTGTACACGGAATAATTCTCAGAGATGAAGAAAATAATGACTTGGTTCATTCATTCGTTTATTTTGCTGCGGTAAATTGGAAATCATTTGATAGCATCTGTGACATCATTTACCATCATCCCTACACTTCCTGTCACATTCCCCCGCTTTCTCCCAATTGATGAAGAAATG